ATCTAAATAATACATTCTATCAATTACTTTTATATATGATCTTTTAAAAGACTTATATGGATCTACAATACTCAATAAAATGGATAATCGATTAGCTAATATTCCAAGATATCCGGAACTTAAGATTTTTAAGAATAGAATTCAGTACTTTCTAGAATTACAGCTAAAGAATATCATAATATTATGAAAATTATGATTTTCATTTTGGATAATCTAATTAATGATGAAAAATTAAATAGAAAGTTGCTAAAAATTTACAAAGATTGGAATAATATATATATTTACTTCTTTTTTTCTTTTCCGCTTTTTGTTCTTTTTTTTCTTTTGTTCTTTTCATTTTTCTATCTCTTTTTTCTCGTTTATTTTTTTTTTGTTTTTCTCCCCTTAACTAACTTTCTTTTCTTTTCTATGTTTCAGCATTCTTGGAATCATCGTTCTTGGAGTCGTCATCTTGAAGTCATTATTCTTCATCGTTATTCTTAAAGTCTTCTGTCTTTTTTCTTGTTTTCAATTTTTTTTTCCTGCTTTATTTTTCTTTCGCCTTTTTCTTTTTTTTCGCTTTATTTCTTTTCTTCTTTTCTGTATCCTTCTTTTTTATATCCTTCTTTTTTTCTTTTCCGCATCTTTTTTTTCTATATCCTTTTTTTTTTTCTTTTCTACATCCTTCTTTTTCTTCTTTTCGTCTTTTTTTTTCTACTTTTTTCGTTCATTTTTTGCTTCCTTCTTTTTCTTCTCTTTTTACTTCTTTTTTTTCTTTTCTATTTTTTGTTTTTTTCTTTTTTTTTTTTTGTTTTTTTCATTTTTCTACCTTTTTTTTCTTGTTTATTATTTTTTTTGTTTTTCTCCCCTTAACTAACTTTCTTTTCTTTCTTATGGTTCAGTATTCTTAGAATTGTCATTCTTGGAATCGTCATTCTTGGAGTGTCGTTCTTTAGAGTCGTTGTCTTGGAGTCATTGTTTTTCGTTGTTGTTTTTAGAGTCTTTTGTCTTTTTTCTTGTTTTCATTTTTTTTTTTCTGCTCTATTTTATTTCGCCTTTTTTTTCTTTTTCACTTTATTTCTTTTCTTCTTTTCTGTATTCTTCTTTTTCTTCTTTTTTGCATCTTTCTTTTTGTCTTTTTTTTTTCTCATTTTCTATCTTTTTTCTTGTTTCTCTTTTCTTTCGGGTGTTTTTTTCTTTTCGCTTTATTTTTTTCCTCTTTCTCGCTTTATTTTTTTTTTTCTTTCTCACTTTATTTTTTATTTTTTTCTGTTTTCTTTCTTCTTCTTTCTTGTTTTGTTCTTTTTCTTTCGTTTTTTTTTTTTTTTTTTGCACTTTTCATTTTTCTATTTCTTTCTTATTATTTTCCCTATTCTTGTTTTTTTTTTTTTTTTTAACTTAACTAACTTATTTTTTTCCTATAAATTTAGCCTTCTAAATCGTTCTTGGGATCGTAGTTCTTTGGAGTCATCATTCTTGGAGTCATCGTTCTTTCGAGCCGTCGTTCTTTGGAGCCATCATTCTTTGGAGCCATCATTTTTTGGAGCTGTCGTTCTTTGGAGTTGTCATGCTGTTAGACCTTCGTTGGCATTTTTTGGATGCACTTTCTTGGATCCTTGTCGCTGAACTTTTTTGGTGGATTTTCTCTGGTGAATTTTTTCTGGTTGTGAACTTTGTCGTTAGGTTTTTATCTCTAGTTTTTCTATTATAAATTAGTTTTTTTTTTTTTTTTGTATTTTGTATTTTTTTTTTTTTTTTTTAAATAAAGTTACACGAATCACATAATAGATTTTGATTGGTCGGTCATGGGGTCGCCATGGCAACGGGTCGCTCTAAACAACGCTTATAAAAATTTTATAAAATTTTTAATGAAAAAATAAAGATTAAATAAAATTGAAAATAATTTTTTTTATCTATGATTAACACAGGTCGAATATCAAAATATCGGACAAACTATCTGCTGTCTGATATTCCTATAAATAATAGCGATATTTTATCAAGATATTGACAAGGGATATAGGTCAATTATATCTTGTCGAAATCGGAATAGGAGTTTAGCTTTTGAACAGAAAGTATCAGTAAATATTGGCTGAGAAAATAGCTCGATGAAATT